GTTCGGAACAAGCGTTACGCCGAGAACGTTTTCATAAACTCTCCCATTAAGTTATATAAACGTTATTTCTGAATGTTCTAGGAATATTCAAAATGTCCAGTTTTTAGACTTTGTTGTATTGTTAAGAAAGTTATTCAAAACGTTATAAGAACGTTCAATTCTCCTGTTATATAAACGTTGTATTAACGTTATTTCCTGGTAAAAGAATGTTATACTGGGCGCTAATCTATTCTACAATATACACTAATTACAGTAAAATAGTCAATTTAGTGCAGTAATTCCTCTGTCAACCAGTAGAAAACTGCTTTGAACACCTGATTATGCATGAAAAAAATGGAAAACCGCTTAATAAAAAAAAAAAAAAAACATGATGTAAGTTTTTGGTCAAACCGCCAGCACTAGGTCTGTCATAGGCTTTATCGTTATTATCGCGGGAACACTAATTCTTATCTTGAGGAAGAATTTAACCGGTATATCGCAAACTATAATATATGGCCCATCTTCAACTTTTTTTCTCAGCTCTGGAAGCTCTAAAAATGGTATTCTAAGGATTTTTGGCATGAAAAGAAAATGTATAGTGTTGACCCAGTGTTGTTCGCTACTGGCACAGACACCCCTGTGCCTCGGGACTGGGATGGGGGTCCGGGCCATGTGGGACTGGGTTGGGGGTCCGGGCCATATGAGACTGGGATGGACTGGGATGAACTGGGATGGGGGTCTGGGCCACGTGGGACTGGGATGGACTGGGATGAACTGGGATGTGGGTCCGGGCCACGTGGGACTGGGATGGACTGGGATGAACTGGGATGGAGGTCCGGGCCACGTGGGACTGGGATGGACTGGGATGAACTGGGATGGGGGTCTGGGCCACGTGGGACTGGATGGACTGGGATGAACTGGGATGGGGGTCCGGGCCACGTGGGACTGGGATGAACTGGGATGGACTGGGATGGGGGTACGGGCCACATGGGACTGGGATAGGGGTCCGGGCCACATCTGGTGCTGCTGCTGTTAAAGCGGTCATCTTACCACCTCTGGGCTCCACTCGACTGGTGTATTCGCACTTCCACTCTGACTCTTGAGTGTTGGGGTTGGAGTTGATCTGAGGAAGGACTTTCACACAGTACTGCTGTCCCGGCTGAAGGTTCTGCAGGACCGTCTGGTTCTTGAGTGTAGAGATGTGCTCGGCCTAGGGTGGACAACACACCAGTCCAAGACAAGAGAGGCTCAGTTGATGGGACTTTACAAGGACAGCTTTAAACACATTCAGCCAGCGCGTGAGCATCAACAGCACGGTATATCCGCTATCATATCCGTATTGGCCCATATATGACCATGTTTTATGTTATGTGTCTGATATCTTAAAGCCGATAAATAATGTTTAATGTCCTTCAGCTGAGACGCTGCAGATGCGACTGTTCTACATGAAGGATTTAAATTTGCTTGAAAAATAACTGGAATCACTCACAAAATACAGAGCAAGTCTGTCATATCGGCTACATGCAATCATAATTGTGTATTTGGGACGTGGCTTTTAATGCTGAGACTGTAATCAGGCTCTCAAAAATTACATACAAAATTGGATTTAGATTAATCTGTCAATTTATTGGCTTTCAAATAGAGCCCGACCGATTAAAGGATTTTGAAGGCCGATACCGATACAAATATTTGGGGGTTTTAAAATCCGATATTCCGATATATCGGCCGATATTTTATTTATTTATTTATTTATTTTTAAATTGGACATGATAATCACAAATTTTGTCATGCTTATTTGAGTTAAGAGAACTGATGGGGATGTTCTTTTAATTGTTATTCAAGCAATGTATGTATCGTGACCAACTCAACGAGTGTTGCCAACAGGGACGGTGTAGAGCGCCCTCTGGTGGACAAACTATACAACTCCAACACTCATGACATGGTTCAAGCGTGTTTCTTCCGTTTTTATTTTATTTTTGAAATATTCATTTATCGGCCATTATAACTGCAGATACCGATAGTTTGGAAAATGCCTAATATCGGCCGATAATATCGGTCTGCCGATATATCGGTCTGGCTCTACTTTCAAATATAAATAATTATCGGTACCAGTCAAAATGTTAAAATCGGTGCATCCCTAATGAACAGTGATTACGTAGATTTTAAGATGTTACACAATGTACCAAATGTAATGATTCAGCAGTTTAAGTAAGAGTGTAACTAGATAATTGTGTGAATCTCGCAAAACATATAAACTGTCCGTTCATTACTAAATAATAAGTGCTGGTTCAAACACAGTGATTAGGAGGATCACGCGCGATACTGATTAACAAATGTTAACTAACACATCCACACACAGAGGAACACTCACCTCAGTCTGTCCGGCTTTCCTCCAGCTGATCTTGTACTCCACAGAGTTATAGAAGCGTCCGGTTTGCGGTGTCAGGGGTGTGTCCGGCGGCGGAGAGATGCTGATTTTCAGGCAGTTCCCACAGCCGGACAGGGACACGTCGGGCGGGCCGATGCTGGCTGGACACAGCACAATACAAGTCAACAACTCTGGATCATGCGACCGCATCACATCATGCGCAGATGTTCCAGCACTCACTGTCTTCGTACGGTGTGATACTGGTGTTCACTTCCGCCGATCTGGCGTTTCCGAGCGACGCCCACACACTGAAAGTGCAGTATGTCCAGATGTTCCTCAGCGCTTTAGACACATCTACTGTTGTACGCGTCACGTTCACACGCACTGCGGACTTTCCTGGTTTTTTACTTCCTTCACAGCTGTAAAAATACATAAATCAGTGGTAAAAATAGGACAAAATGTAAGAAAGTGAGAGTTTGCGCTAGGAAAAACTAAAAACTTTAAAAGAACAGTTGTCTCTTGGAAACGTTCGTGTGAGCTTTGACTGTTTTTGCTAAATGCTAAAGTTGTTAAAGCTGAAAGTGAAGTAGTTTTACATCAATCTCCATTCAAGTCATCACTTATGCAGCACGGTTAGGGTGTGCCGGCGTCAGAACTGGTGATGGCGGTTATGACGCGAGTCATGTGACGGTAGAGGTCCACTTCTGCGACACCACATTTGTACTTCGATGGGCGAGTAGGGCTGTCGCGGTTATGGAATTTACCTTGCGGTAATGTTGAGTGGCTCAATATGGCTCGATATGTAGGGTTGGGTATCGTTTGAATTTGAACGATTCTGATTCCGATTCCTTGTTTCGATTCCGGTTCCTAGCGATTCTCGATTTCGATTCTTTTAAGAGGCAGGGTCAAAAAAGTTTAGCTAACCTTGCTAACCAACGGTCTTTCTGAAGGAAATACTCCTTCTGTCACAAATACTTGTCACAAATTTTGCATTTTGCCGAGATTTCGTTAATTTTTAGAAAAGTGAAGCCACACTTTGGACCGCCGACGTAAGCTACTCATGTTCGACTCGGTAGACGCTTCTTCGTTGGTGTTGTTCAGCGGTTTCTTCTTCCGCTCGGCGGACTGTGAATATCGAAACTAGGAATTTAAATTTTAACTTTTGAACGATTTCGGGAAAAACGAAAAGTTAGTCTCGGTTCCAAACGATACTCGATTCTCGATACCCAACCCTAGCGATATGCAGTATTACCCCCATTTATTTACTTATTTAATTTATATGTATTTGTTGCTATATAAATAAAGTTTACGATGTGGACAAAAACGAGGACATTTTCAGTAACCGATGTAACCGAAACTAAACAGCGTCTACACAGTATATTCACTCAGCGCGCATATTGTTATGACAACGGACTTTGAGCGAGTCATTGAACCGTTCATTTAACGAACACGTTTAAAAAAGCTGATTCATTAAAAGAGATGTACAGAAACAATATGTTAATTATTTTTAACTTTGAGGTTCAACTTTTCAAGGCTCAGCTGAGCAGCAATGCTTATTAGAGGCACATATTAGCATTTGATTCAATGCGTGACTCACTGATTTTATTTCCCCGCGGCTTCCTTGTGCTGTGGGAAGCTGACCAGCGCTGCTGCTGACGCGCATTTATGGGAAAATACCCGTTAAAATGATGATGCGACAAATATTTTGCTTCCCTTTGACACGACAAGCTTTTCACGACTTCAAAGACAGACGCAGGTATTCGCACGCGCTCTGCCGATCTCTCTCATTCACTATCTGTGTGAAGCCTGTAGGCTACACATCACCATGATAAACAGTCTTGGTATCATTATGAACTTGTTTAACATTCAATACACAAGCATTAAGTTCAAAACAAGAAGGGTATAGCCTTATTAAAAAAAAAACGTGAATATTGCGGTTGCTGCGGTTACGTGTATAGACAAGAGGAGGAGCTATTATAGGCCCCTTATGGCAACGTGACATTACCCTAATCCAAAATAGTGTTTTATGGGCTATATGCACGCATAAATTCCGCATTTGACGCAAGGATGCTCGTCCATTTCCGGTTGTGTAGATTAAAGCGGAGGAAAACCGAGGAAAACGGGATTATGGCAGAGTCTTCAAAATTTACTGTCCTCCAGTCTTTGAAACGAAACGTACATACGTTTAGATGTAATTTTATATATAGTTATATTTATTTAATATAATTTTAAAAAGAAGCATAAACACAACGAGGGGTGCCTGTTTTATCTGTTTTTGTGACTAACGTTTCTTTAGTATAACCATGGAGTATAAAATTCAATATAAATTCTCGGTATTGCATTGGACTCTACGATCGGCGGAAGTTATCGAGCATCCTTAATCGTTCACCGGAAATACCGCCGTGCATAGAGCCCATTGTGTTTTACGTTGGTGTCGCCTGAATTGCTCGACTCACCTTTGCTTGACGTTGAACACGGTGCGTGGAGGAGACGCTATCCCAGGACTCCACTGCAAGATGTGCCGGAAGTTTTGGGACACTATAGTGAGGTTGGCCGGAGCAGGGATTGTGTGGAGCACTGGAAGAACACACACACACACACACACACACACATCACACACTGAGCAGAAACATGCTCACAGATAAAAGAAAGCTCATTTAATTCAATAAACTAAACAGGAAAAGAAATGAGCAATTTCATATTTCATAATCACGATCCCTCATTTCAATCTCTGGCCTGTGAATTTTCCATTTTTATCGTGTGGTTTTCCACATCTTGTTTTAAAGATATTTGCAGGGTTTTAATATTATGTTATGCAATATTAGCTCATATAAAATAAAAATATGACATTTTTATTAAGATAGGGCCCTATTAAATCAGAATTTTTCCAAATCCCACATTTTTTTTTTTTTTTTATCTTTCTGGATTTTCCCCCCTCCATTTTAAAGGTTTGTAAGTAATCAAAAAGCATGTCTAATTTTTTTTTTTTTTTTAAATAAACAATCTAATTTCTAATCTTTTCTGTTTAAAATTTTCTGGATTCCATTTTAATGGTTTAATTAAATTTTAATAATAAGCTATTTTTTTTCTTTTTCTTTCTAGCAATCAAATGAAGGCATAAAATATTAATTTAGTTTATCTTTTAATCGCGTTATGACATCCAAAATACAATCTCATGAAAAAAAAAAGAAAACATGACTATTTTTTTATTTATTTAATGTTGTTGTTATGTTAAAAAAGTGTGCTTGTTGAAAGTGCCAGATTATTAAAATATGTATTCACTCATAACTTACTCAATTCTTAATAACTCAATTCAATAACTTACTCGTATTCAATATAGTGAACTAAATTATTAATGCCCAATATTAAATATTAAACTGATTCTCTAAAACTAGCCACAAATTATTAAGTCAAGATAACGTTCTCTTTTATACATAAGGACGACCTTTTCCGTGATGAGATACAAAAAAATATTACATTTCAACAAACAACAACTTTCCAAGTGCCCTCAAATATTGTAAATATGTGAAATCTGAAGGCGAGCAGATTTCCCACTACAGGAGCTCATATTGTTTTTAAACGCTAAACAACGATTGTGTGAACAAAATCACCAGATCTAAATACTCACATCATGAACCAAGAGAAATGAGGCCTACAGTGAGTGTGTGCGTGTGTGTGTGTTCTCTCAGATCTGTACCTGTGATGTAGAGGGACATGAGCAAGAGATGGCACACGTATGCTCTCGTCATTATGACTGTCAATCATAACTCCCCAACAGCAGCGACCTCACACTGAAGACAACACAAGTGATGAAGACACACACCAACGCTTAACTTTAGCTGGACAATAACTTTATTCTGCTATAAACGAAAGACAAAATCATCTCTCTCTCTTTAATTAGGGGCCAAGCCCCGAAGGGGATAGCCCCTATTGTATCTGTTAGTATTCTTATTATTATTATTATTAGGGGCCAAGCACCGAAGGTGCAGAGGCACCTATTGTATCTGTTGGTTTTATTATTATTATTATTATTATTATTCTTCCCGGTGGAAGTCTATGGCAGCCCTATGAACCGTAAGTAGGAAAATGATGAAATTTGGCACACTTATAGAGATCATCATGAAAAGTAATTGAGCCAAATTTTGAGTCTCTAGCCCCAACTCTATAGCGCCACCACCAGTTCAAAATTTCAACATTAAAATTGTTGTAACTTTTGAACCCTTTGGTCTAGAGACATGAAACATAGTACACTTGATTCCACTCATCATGCTGATCACAACCAATGTCATACATTAAGACTCCGCCCATTACAGTAGACGCCATTTTGAAAAGTACAGTATTCAGTTTTTTTGCTACTCCTCCTTCAAAATTTGTTCAATTTTGTCCAATATTTGGTCAAATGATATTTAGACTTAGCCGCACAGAAATGACTGAACAGATTTTTTTTAGTTGTCTTTCTTCAAAAGTTATGGTGTCGCAAACTTAGTGAGGTCCACCCAAAAATGGCTAAGAGGCTGTATCTCGGCCAAAGTTTGATCAATCGAAACAGAAATCGATACACTTTATCAGAAGCATGTTCTGAGGTGTCATACCAAAGTTGGGAATAGCGCCACCTAGGGGTCATGAGATATGCAAAATTGCTATTTTGGCCAATAACTTTTGAACAGTTTTTCAGAAAATCATAAATGTGGTATCTATGGATTCCTTGGATCATGCCGAATCCGTGGATATCAATTTTGCCATGATGGGATGTACCTCGTGTCCGCCATTTTGAATTTTGTCATAATTTGCAATATCTTTAAAACTTTTTAAAATTTCTCCACCAAATTTGGTATGGATCATCATTAGCATGGCCCAAAGGTACATGAGAAGTTTGATGACAGCGCCACCTAGTGTTCCAAAGTTATAAGGTTTTTTGTAAAAACGCTTATAACTTTTGCAAATATAGTTCAAAATTTAATTTCTTTATATCAATATGTTCCTTGGCTTATACCGATTCTAACGATGTCTCATTTTTCATTTTCCAACAAAATGACTGTCCGCCATATTGGAGCAAATGAAAAACCATTTTTTCGCTACTCCTCCTTCAGATCTTGCTCAAATTTTTCCAAAATTTGGTCAGATGATCTTTGGACCGAGCCGCACAGAAATGACTGAACAGATTTTTGATATTCATTACCGTTTTCGAGATATATTTGTCTCCAAAATTGACCTAGCCTGTGTTTGTTGCCTTATGCTAGTTAGCTTAGCATAATAATTGTTTAGCATGCTAACCAGGTGCCATTCTTTTTAATGGGGCTCTTCAGCTAACAGGATGACCATAAGCTGTATTAGCATTGAGCTAGCTTAGCATGCTAATCACGTTAACATGCTTTTGTACATTTATTCTTATACTGAAGCCTCTCCTCTGCAGATTTGTAATATCCATCCTATGAGTGGCGTAAGCTGCTAAACCACGTGTCACGAATCCCGAACCATTGCGGTCGTGGGTTCGAATCCTGTGTGGCACATGCCCAGACCGCAAGAGGTACTGTGGCCTTAAGTGGTGGAAAAGTCGTTTCAGTTCTACACATGGTGTCTGTCTGAGAAAGAACATGTGCTTGCTGTACTTGTTCTGCTTGTGGTCCCTTCCAGGGCTTGGCCCCGCAAAAGGCTGCTTGCAGCTTTAATTATTATTATTCTTCTTCCGCCAATGGAAGTCTATGGCAGCCCTATGAACCGTAAGTAGGAAAATGTTGAAATTTGGCACACTTGTAGTGATGGTAATTATTAGTAATTGGTCCAATTTTTGACCCTCTACGACCAACTCTATAGCGCCACCACCAGTTCAAAAATTCAACATTGAAATGGTTATAACTTTTGAACCCTTTGCTCTAGAGACATGAAACTTAGTACACCTGATTCCTCTCATCATGCTGATCACAACCAATACCTTACATTAAGACCCCGCCCATTACAGTAGAGGCCATTTTGAAATGTACAGTATTCAGTTTTTTCCCTACTCCTCCTTCAAATTTTGTCCAATTCTGTCCAAAATTTGCTCAAATGATCTTCGGACTGAGCCGCACAGAAATGACTAAACAGATTTTTTTTATTCATCTTTGTTCAAAAGTTATGGTGTCGCAAACTTAACGAGGTCCACCCAAAATTGGCTAAGAGGCTGTATCTCGGCCAAAATTGAATCAATCGAAACGAAAATTGGTACGCTTCATCGGAAGCATGTTCTGAGGATCCATACCAAAGTTGGGAATAGCGCCACCTACGGGTCATGAGATATGCAAAATTGCTATTTTGGCCAATAACTTTTGAACAGTTTTTCAGAAAATCATAAATGTGGTATCTATGGATTCCTTGGATCATGCCGAATCCGTGGATATCGATTTTGCCATGATGGGCTATACCTCGTGTCCGCCATTTTGAATTTTGTCATAAATTGCAATATCTTTAAACCTCTTTGAAATTTCTTGACCAAATTTGGCATGGATCATCATTTGCATGCCCTGAAGGTACATGAGAAGTTTTATCACAGCGCCACCTAGTGTTCCAAAGTTATAAGGTTTTTTGTAAAGACGCTTATAACTTTTGCAAATATTGTTCAAAATGTCATGTCTTTATGTCAAAATGTTCCTTGGCTTATAACGATTCCACCGATGTCTCATTTTTCATTTTCCAACAATGTGACTGTCCGCCATATTGGAGCAAATGAAAAACCATTTTTTCGCTACTCCTCCTTCAAATCTTGCTCGAATTTGTTTAAAATTTGGTCACATAATCTTTGGACCGAGCCGCACAGAAATGACTGAACTGATTTTTGATATTCGCTATCGTTTGAGAGATATTTGTCTCCAAAGTTGACCTAGCCTGTGTTTGTTGCCTTATGCTAGTTAGCTTAGCATAATAATTGTTTAGCATGCTAACCAGGTGCCATTCTTTTGAATGCGTCTCTTCAGCTATCAGGATAACCATAAGCTACGTTAGCATTGAGCTAGCTTAGCATGCTAATTGCGTTAACATGATTTTGTGTGCTTATTCTTATACTGAAGGCTCTCCTCTGCCGCTCAGTTATTTGCGTCTTCTGTGTGGCGCAAGCTGCTAAACCACGTGTCACGAATCCCGAACCATTGCGGTCGTGGGTTCGAATCCCGTGTGGCACATGCCCAGACCGCAAGAGGTACTGTGGCCTTAAGTGGTGGAAAAGTCGTTTCAGTTCTACACATGGTGTCTGTCTGAGAAAGAACATGTGCTTGCTGTACTTGTTCTGCTTGTGGTCCCTTCCAGGGCTTGGCCCCGCAAAAGGCTGCTTGCAGCTTTAATTATTATTATTCTTCTTCCGCCAATGGAAGTCTATGGCAGCCCTATGAACCGTAAGTAGGAAAATGTTGAAATTTGGCACACTTGTAGTGATGGTAATTATTAGTAATTGGTCCAATTTTTGACCCTCTACGACCAACTCTATAGCGCCACCACCAGTTCAAAAATTCAACATTGAAATGGTTATAACTTTTGAACCCTTTGCTCTAGAGACATGAAACTTAGTACACCTGATTCCTCTCATCATGCTGATCACAACCAATACCTTACATTAAGACCCCGCCCATTACAGTAGAGGCCATTTTGAAATGTACAGTATTCAGTTTTTTCCCTACTCCTCCTTCAAATTTTGTCCAATTCTGTCCAAAATTTGCTCAAATGATCTTCGGACTGAGCCGCACAGAAATGACTAAACAGATTTTTTTTATTCATCTTTGTTCAAAAGTTATGGTGTCGCAAACTTAACGAGGTCCACCCAAAATTGGCTAAGAGGCTGTATCTCGGCCAAAATTGAATCAATCGAAACGAAAATTGGTACGCTTCATCGGAAGCATGTTCTGAGGATCCATACCAAAGTTGGGAATAGCGCCACCTACGGGTCATGAGATATGCAAAATTGCTATTTTGGCCAATAACTTCTGAACAGTTTTTCAGAAAATCATAAATGTGGTATCTATGGATTCCTTGGATCATGCCGAATCCGTGGATATCGATTTTGCCATGATGGGCTATACCTCGTGTCCGCCATTTTGAATTTTGTCATAAATTGCAATATCTTTAAACCTCTTTGAAATTTCTTGACCAAATTTGGCATGGATCATCATTTGCATGCCCTGAAGGTACATGAGAAGTTTTATCACAGCGCCACCTAGTGTTCCAAAGTTATAAGGTTTTTTGTAAAGACGCTTATAACTTTTGCAAATATTGTTCAAAATGTCATTTCTTTATGTCAAAATGTTCCTTGGCTTATAACGATTCCACCGATGTCTCATTTTTCATTTTCCAACAATGTGACTGTCCGCCATATTGGAGCAAATGAAAAAACATTTTTTCGCTACTCCTCCTTCAAATCTTGCTCGAATTTGTCCAAAATTTGGTCAGATAATCTTTGGACCGAGCCGCACAGAAATGACTGAACTGATTTTTGATATTCGCTATCGTTTGAGAGATATTTGTCTCCAAAGTTGACCTAGCCTGTGTTTGTTGCCTTATGCTAGTTAGCTTAGCATAATAATTGTTTAGCATGCTAACCAGGTGCCATTCTTTTGAATGCGGCTCTTCAGCTATCAGGATAACCATTTACTACGTTAGCATTGAGCTAGCTTAGCATGCTAATTGCGTTAACATGATTTTGTGTGCTTATTCTTATACTGAAGGCTCTCCTCTGCAGCTCAGTTATTTGCGTCTTCTGTGTGGCGCAAGCTGCTAAACCACGTGTCACGAATCCCGAACCATTGCGGTCGTGGGTTCGAATCCTGTGTGGCACATGCCCAGACCGCAAGAGGTACTGTGGCCTTAAGTGGTGGAAAAGTTGTTTCAGTTCTAGACATGGTGTCTGTCTGAGAAAGGACTTCCAAAAATATAACATGCAGCAAATTTATATATTAAAAAAATCTTAATTTTGAGGTTATTTTCACTTGTACTACTGACCCAACAGTTTTTTTTTTCCAAATGTCGGAGTTGCTGCTGCTTTCGGGCTTGGCCCCTGCATTGCTGCTTGCAGCTATATTTTCCTATTATCTCTGTAAAGCAGCTTTGATATTGTTGAAGAGCTGAATAAATGAAGGAGACTGACTGACAATACATTCATAAATGAGATCAGAAAGCGATAATATTAGGCGTGTAAAACATTCAGAAGATGCTATGACAAGCCCTGGTTTCACAAAGATGAAATAAAGCACATTACAGACATGTAAATTTAAAAATGTAAATATATGTATCTGTTGGGTCTTGTGGTTTTCTCAAAATTAAACCATACATGTGAAAAATAAATACCTTGATCAGTGTGTAATGTGGTCTTGATACAGTCACAGTCCTGTGAAGTCTTACACCACTGATTGAGCTGATCTGTTCAGAAACACACACTCCAACACGTCAACATAAACATTAGGGTTAGGGTTTATGAATTATTAGCATTAGGGTTTATTATGAATGTAGCATGTTGCTATTATTTGAAGTACATTGGTAAAAATTTGTTAAAATCATGATAAATTCAATTTGATATCGTGTAGTACACATACATATTACTTTAAAAAGTTCAAATATGAAATACAGGGTTAATAACACATGTGTTAAAGCGACCTGTAACACTGAATTACTCACTGTGTGTGTGACGGGTGACATGATACGTATCAAGGTCCACTTGTTCACAACACTCGTTTAAACACGTTAAAAGTTCTTCACACTACCTGCCGATCTGTCCTATCGGTAAATCATGTGTGAGAGAAAGCGGTTATTACGTTTAATAGCGCATTTATTAATAGACGAACCGTCTGAAGGGGGTTCCTGAATCTGTTTCCACACGTCACTGACACATGCACGCGCTTCCCCGACACAGCGGCGCGTCACGTGATTTTCACTTAAACACAAACAGGTTCACGGGAAATACATTTGTGTTTGTATGTGTGTGTGTGTAAGCAAACTAAATGTTTTATTTTGCCTGCAGACTTGAAGTGTTTTGCGGTTTCTCTTTTGTTCCACTGCTTTAATAGTAAATTAATATTATTATTACATTTATTATTATTAATAAACGTTAAGTTTGCCTGAGACATGGCCATGCGACAAATATTCATTTAGATTTGTTCTTAAAACATAATACACATTTTGATCTGTAAAAGTATTATAAACAACATTCTTTATGATGAGAATTTATCTTTAAATACAACATTGAATTATTGAAAAGTTGCAATATTTTTGAACAATTAGATTAGAATGTATGTAGGCCTATTTTAATACATAAATACATTTCCTTATTAAATATTAAGTAGTGTTTTGGTAGTTGGTGCATGTGCTACACTCTTAAAGTCATAAAAACAAGGCACAGTGTAATATTATTATCCCTATTGATTTTTCACAGGTGTTTAACTGTATTTTTAATAACTGAGGATAATGTCTGACAGAAATTTACCAGTATCTTTTCCATTTTTTCAACATCAACTGAACAATAATTATTGGACCATGCAGGCTATCATATAAGCGAACAATTATTGCAACTTAATTCCCTACAATGTATACTTTCTCCAGATCTGTTCACTGGTTTTCTCTGTTTGTGTAATTAAGATGAAAATATATGCCTTTTTATTGTTTGAGGCACATTTCAAAAGTTGCCAAATACATTTTAAAAACAGCTAATTTTGTTGCTAGGTGCTTTTTGATAAAAGTTGCTAAACAAAATTGCTAATGGCGAGTTCACACACTTTTCAGAGTCAGATCACTGTAGCCTGTATTGCGATCAGAATTGTCTGTTCACTGATTTACGGAGAAAAGGAGAAAAAGAGAAACAGATTTTGCCGGAGGGAGTGGTTGAGGAGACGAGGGAGTGTTTCTGTAATAAGAGTCGGGGCCCGGGGGTAAATGAATAACTTTGCTGGTCAAGCACATGTTTGTGCTGTGTCTGTGTGATATAACTGTAAATATATCTATAAAATGCTAATATTCTGGTCTATCCACCTTATTCTGCTATGAACAGTGCGTGCTGCCATGACGACGACTCCAGTTGCCAGCTTCCGGTTAGACTAGATACCCTATTGGCCACTGGAAACCGAGAAATCCGGCCGCCATCTTGAACCGGTCGTCTTCCTAGTCTCGTTGCGTGGCAGCAGATTAGATGCCAGAGCATTGTGGAGCATTTTCCTATTCTTATCGCCGAACCATCGAAAATAGGGCTTTTCACAAGTAAGTCTTAACATTACCGTACTATTGGTTGTATTTTGTGAATAGAATATTACCAGCTAATCGAGAAGGAGCAAGGATATTTGCTATTACTGTACTGAAATCGTAGTGAAATGTTGTTTAATGCATCAGCCGGTGTTCACCCGGCATGGAGAGGTGGGGTAACTGTTAAAGTAATAATTTCAAGAGCTTCTAGGTTATCAGATAAGCTTTCAACTGCCCTGTTGTATAACGTTAGGTTATACACGCATGACAGCGATGCGCAAATTGAGTTACCCCTCCAACTTCTAGGTTTATTGCAGTGTTGGGTAAGTTACTCTAAAAAAGTAATTAATTACTAGTTACTAATTACCGCTTCAACAGTGTAATTAGATTACTGTACTAATTACTCTCTCTAAAAAGTATTTAATTACTTTTAATTACTAATTACTTTCAAAATCCCATATCAGTCTCAACCAGCTGAATAATACAAGGATAGACATGAATCTGTTTTAATTCTTTCAAATAAATACTATCAATTGCATGAATTATCCTTAAACTGGCCAAGGAGGAGAAGGTTATATTATAAAAACATACTTTTTAGCATCAGAAAATACATCTTGATGTTAAATCCACTATTGTTTTATGTCTGATCTCATGACATTTCACACTTTTTTCATACATATTTTACAATAATTCATACGAATTTGTACAAGTGCGGTCGTACGATTTAGACACCTCATAAAATGCATACGAATCACTGTGAGATCGGATTTATCAATGCATAGTATATACCTCAATTACATCAGAAGTAACTGTAATTAAATTACAGATAAATTAAGAGTAATCCCTTACTTTACATTTTCAGGGGAAAAGTAATTAAATTACAGTAACTAATTACTTAGTATTACTTAGTTACACCCAACACTGGTTTATTGATAACCTATATCTTATCACTTGCGATTTGGCTATTGATATTACAGAAGTCCTGTGGTAAAATTACATTATTAACTTACTCCATCTACCCTTGTAAAGTTAATCCGAATAGAGCTTTAGTCTCGACATTTTCTCCTCCCACATCCACATACAATAAAAAAGGTATAGGCTGTTGTCCGAATTTAATTTTTAGAAATTACTGATGCATTTCTAGGTTCCAATTTGGCCTTAGAAAACCAGTCAAATGTAAATTTTTTTCATATTAATTTGTGAATATTTTAAAAGTTTAATAAAGGGGCAAAAAGTCATAAACAAGTATCTGAAAATTTGTCGATATATATATATATATATATATAGATGAACACCAACATTTTAGTTTGACATGTAGACCTACACCAAATGCTGCGAAAAAAATATATATATATAAGTTTTCTATATATATATTTGTATATTTTTACTATATATTTTTTTTCGCAACAACAATACAACAACCATTAATTTTTCGTTTTGCAATTACGGGTAAAATAAGGGAAAACGAATACAAGTACTGACCGTTTGGACATAATACGAGACAGAGTTCTTTATTAAATTCATAAAATAAACAATAATTACAGGAATAGCCAACTGGACTCTAAACCTCAAAGAAATGCCACAATCAAGACCTCGGAGCAGAAATAAGAGAGAAAAACCCAGGAACTCCGTGTCTTTCCCAGGCATTAACCCTTGGATAACACACCACGTCTCCTTCCATTAATAATAATAATGTCTAGTGCGTTGGCTGTGATATAAACCTACTAACGTCCGTTGCCATGATATTTGGAATGACTGATCGCGAGAGGAAAAAACGATGTTGTAGTCGCATTACATCGGTTAATGGAAACGCCGTCATTTCGCAATAGTTTTTATCGACATTTAGAAAATATCGCAAAAGTTTTGCACAAATCTGTAATGGAAACGCGCCTAGTGGCTCGGAATAAAATGTGCGTAAATGAACCTAGGGAAGCTAACCACAACACTAGCATTAGGGCTAATCAAAATTCAAGAAATATCCCTAAAAACTACTGATAGGACGAGGAAAAGAAGAAACTTTACTCACTCCACATCTGAGTAGCCAAATACTACCTTGATTGGGTATCACATAACCCAGACTGATCTCATGAAGTAGCGTGTGTATGACACGCCAATTCGTATTTCCATTTTTGGCGTGCTATCAACACGCATAATCGCTTTTCAGCGTATTTATGAACGCCGTTGACTTAACGTTATTACTGTATATATAAATATATGACTTACCTCAACCCCGTCCCTAAACCTAACCGTCACTGGGGTTAATGGCATTTATGACTGTTCCCTTACTATCCTAGGTAAAAAAAAACATAGCTCCCCAGATGTAGATCTACATTTTGCTTTGTTTTGGTCGGACATTTGACGGCGTGTTCAGACACACGGACGTTAATGGCGTAGACAAACACGCATACGCGGATACATGCGGATAGCTCAAAATGCGTCGAGATAACACGCCACTTGACTCGAAATTGGCGTGTATGTTTACGCAAAAGTCATGATGTCATGTTGACATAACCAAACATATCAGAATGGCAAGGACCGAAAATCTAACAATGGCTGATATATCAATAGAAATGTTGCCAGTGATTCTCTCCACACATCCAAGCAACATGCAGATTATTATTCACACTGGGTCTTTTGACATTCTACAAAGGAAAACTGGCTCTGGGATCCTGACAATGGATTTCTCTATGCTACTGGAGAAATCAAACAACATGTTTTCATCCCCGCCCCGATTCCAACCGTGGGGAAAGGGACTGAATCTTTTAGCAGACTCCTTGGGCTGAGACCGTTGGGACTGTAAAGACCACTTTAGATCTGATGGGGTTCATCCAAGCATCATGGGATGCGGCTGCTTGGTGCCAACATACGCCACGCTGTCGGAATGCCATTCCCAAACAACATGAGCATAAAGGACAGTATTCATAGACAGTGTCCATTCCCTCACTCCAGATCCCCCAACTAAAAACAATCAATGCTTCCAGAAGTTGTCTTTGTCCCAAACAGGGACACAACAACTCCCACCACTACACCAGAATCACACCCATCCTCTCCCCCTTTATCACACACACCCCTCCGTCCAACACACTCACCAATCAGGGAGCTAGTTCTAATGCTTCTCTATGTCCCACCCCTCCCCACTGTTTAAAAAAAGAGGAGGAATGTTTTTACGCCACTCCCGAATGAATGAAATCCACCACCAACAGGTTCCTTGACCTCTTTGAACACGATCTCTGTTTGTCGTTTTTGCTTTGAGAATATTTTTGTGTGACAAATTTTTTTTTTTTAGATGTTTTATGGTAAACACAGTTGCCATAACACGTTTATTTACAAGCAACTATTTTATCTATTGTTATACCATGGTCTGGGTGAATACTCGATTCTGATTGGCTGCAGGGTGTCCGTTAAAAAGTGATAGAGGACACCTAGTAAAGTAGTTCTGGTTAGACTGCCTGTTTACCATTCAAAGTTAATAAATAAATAGCGCTTCGGCGGAGGCAACCGTCCTCCGTTGCGCATGGGCCGGTTCACGCCTCGCCGTCGTCCATTAAAACCTGGCAATGGACACCTCGTCGGGCATTAACCCTTACATGTTATGGCTATTGCAAATAATTGAATGCATGAGGCTGGGGAAATGTAATCCACACCTAAATAGATTATCTGCAGGGTTTAAA